AGAGACGGTCTAGGCGGTATTTTGGAACGCCTTAAATAATTATTCAAACTTGGACGCGGCACTTGAGCCACTCTTTCGCCAAGTAAACAAAACCTGCGATGAAACAAAACAAAAATAAAAAAAAGTTTCATTAAATGCACTTAGTAGTTAATATCAAATATACGTATTATAGCTTCTGCGAAATTCTATTGAATTTTCTCCATTTTAGCCAACACGATTATTTTTAGTATGTTATAACATTATAATTTTGTAATGAAAATGTTATCACCTTGTTTCCTCTTCTTCTTCTTCAATTTTTTCTAATTTTTCGATCGATGTTTCCACACTTTTTGACTCATCGCTGTCATCCGATTCGTCGCTGAACAGGGATGTAGTTGTCTTCACGATTCTGTGAATTTCGTCCACGACGCTGTCAACGGTAGGTTTCTTCGTTTTCTGAAAATCCGACACTTGCGTAACAGAAGCCTGTATCGATTGTTGCTGCGTTTGGATCTGGGTTGATACTTTGCCAAAAGAACGTTCAGTATTTAAAGATTCTTCGTTCTCAGTGACTTTTGGATTCGATTCCGGAATCTCCTGCACGAGCTCTGGTGATTCGTGATTCGTTTCCGGCGTTGCTGGTAATTCGTAATTCGTTTCAGTAGTTTCTTGATTCACTTCTGGTGTCTCTTTGTGATCAGATACAACGCTCGCAGTCGAAGTTGCTAAACGTTGAGTGACTTCTGTCGAATTATCATAAGTCTTGGATGAACTTTGGCTCGATATCTCATTCGCTAGAGTCGAAGTAGATATTATGGGAGTAGATGTTACGGATTTTGTCCTCTCTTCATGCACTTTTGCGGTCGTAGCTATTGAAGTTATAGAAATTCCCTCGGGTGTCGTCGATTGAGGTTGCTGTTTCTTCATCGATTGGGTCGTCGATATCGGTGAGGAAGTCGCTAACTCTAACTGCAATATTTCTTCCGCTTGGAGCAACTTCAGTTGCTCAACTGCGTGAAAAATTACCTGATTCAAAAATAAATCATATAAATGAACAGGCTTTACGGATATTACATATTTTTTTAAACTTAATGTATATAATGTTTATAAATAGCGAGTAAGTATGTATATATAAGTATATAGGACGAATCCGTATTGTAGGTACAATGCACTGAGAGAAAAATGTACTAAAATTTAATGAATATTTATTTGAATAGTGCTAGTTGAATATTTACTAAATGTAAACATATTTATAGGTATATTTATTTGATACAAAAACCGTTAATTTGATTTAATATGTCTTATTATAGTACTGATATAAATGGTATATCAATACTATTCAAACAATTATTCATTAAAATTTAGCACATTTTTCTTTCAGTGTACTTTTATTTTAATAAATATTTTATTTTATTATGCTATATTAGAAATAAAAATTTATTATATATATAGAATTACCAGAATTATTCGAATTTTTAAACCACACAGATAAAAATCGTGAAATTAATGTCACTATTAAGAATTATTAAATGAAACGCAAATTGAATGATCTTAACATGATATTAACGAAGAAACATATAAAGTATTTCCGGATTATTACGGGCAAGATGAGAAGCATCGCAATTATACGCAAGAGAACTTAATGTTCAGAATCTCTCATCAAATTTAGTAATCAAGTAAAATGACTCACCTGCATAGCAGCGGGGAGATACGAATTTGAATACACTGATGTTGAAAAAGCCGGCGGCTTCCTAACGATTCCGGCGATAGCCTGAAGCAATAAAGAATTTTAATTAACATTTCCGCTAAAGCATGAATACCCGTAGTTCTCCGAGCTATTAGCCACGATTATGATATAAACGCGTATTTATATGGAAATATTTCACATTAAACGTTAATTAGGCGAGAACATTGTTACTATAACGTTAAATGTTAATGTTGATATTTAAAGCACAGAATCGTTTGCGCAAAATTAAAATTATAATTTTAATCAGGAATATGAATTTACATTCTTCATATAACATTTTAATTTTTATTTAAATTATACAATAAATTTCGATTATAATAATTTTCATGTTTTCGATTTTTTAAGATACAGAAATAGCAATTTTTCTGTAATTTAATATGCGTTAATGACACTAAATAGCACAACATTATATCTCACTAATGCAATATTAAATATTAAAGACATATAGTGATAATAAATATCACTTACCTGCCGGAGAATCATTATCATCATTAAACTGCATAAAACCTTCATGACAAAATATTTCTTTTACTAGTGCAAAATAAATTCTACCTCTTTATACGCACTTTGTAAGCCACAATTCACAAATCTGCTATACTCTCTGGCATAAACTTATCACAATTCAATAACAAGAATCACTCAAAAAGGATTCAAAAGTCTAAAACTGTTGAAATGTAAGATGTATCACATTAGTCTTGATAAAATTTCTAATAAAACAAGGAATTAATAATTACGGACAATTCTGAGATGATTCAAAAAGAAATTACAGAAAAAAATTAAACACTTTTGGTCTGAAGTATTTTTATATCATTGTGTGAAAAAATAATTCAGACGATAGTCGAGAAATCGACAATTTTCACGGACTACATCGAGGTTCGCAGGCGGCTGTTGGGACAAGACTGGTCTCGAAAAGACTCATAACGGTCCCCCATGTTGTCCTCGGCGTCGCACACCTCCACACTCTTATGCGATCGCGTATGTAAACGAGCGGGTCCCTGTACAGGATTGTTAATTGCGTTACAAGGCGCACAGGCGGCAGCAAGCCGGTACTTATTGGTGCCGATGGGTAAATCACAGTATGATGCCTAAACTAAGCCGTCATCCGTATGCCGACCACGTTTCGAGACGAGAAGCCGACTTTCCGCTATGCACTCGTCCTCGATCTCTCTCTAATTGGACTATACGGATTATATAAGAAATTATATGTAAATTTTCGTATACAAATTGCTAGAATAATTTATGATGTAATATTATCTTCTGACCAAAATTGTAAAAATGCTAAATTTTCAAGTCACAATTAATTAAAAATTTAGAAAATTTCACAAGATATGCTGGAAAAATAAAAATAAATAATGACTGTTTTGAATTCTTCGTGCAGTTTTAAAGACAAATTCAATATTTATTAATAACTAATATTTAAGTATTCAATTGTTTAAAATAATTTAAAATTGCAAATAAACTTGTTAATTACTTTTAAAAAAATTACAATTTATGTAAAACCGATTTTGCAAAATAGCAAAAACAAATGCAAAAGAGCTAAAGATAATAGAAACACAATTTTTAACAAATGCTTTTATATAGTGAAAACATGTATTCGCACTCTTCACATATATTGTTACCGCTGATCTATAACCCAGTTATTCCTATAGCTGATGTATTCGCTTCTGCCATTTTCCGTTTTAATCAACTTCGAAGTTTAGTAACTCAATCACTTCACTCTTTCCAACGATAGCATCGAGCTTTTTTGTTACATTCCATCATTCTAACTTTCTCCTTTATGGTACAAGTCAATTTTTTTGCTAAGTGAACAATTTCGATAAAAATTGACTCGAACACAGTAAGGTCGATGCAAAAATCACAATATTCTCACATAAAAATATTATATCAAATTATAATCAGAAAATGTATAATAGCCTAATTTTCGTGTCTTCCTTATCTTTCTTTGTAATATCAAAGCTTTTTCTTTTAAAAACCTTTGACAATTTTAATCGTTTCTACATTTTAGATATATGTACAATATATAACCTCTTCTTTAAATTAACCACGCATTGATGAAGTTCCGACCTTCACGACGATTTCGCAACAGTCCAATAAGAGTAAAATTTCTCGGTCGAAAACAACTCTTTCAAGGAGAGTCGGTCACGGCACTTTGTCCCAGAACAATCGAAAAAAATGACCCGACCGGTTTTTCATACGACTCACGTATCTTCTGTTCGCGATTTCGAAAATGTTGTCTTCTAGAAGACCCCACTCATCATCACGAAATTCGCTTTTATTCGCAAAATAAATTCGTTAAAAAATGAATTCTCATATTCCGCATTTTGACAAATTAAAAATATATCGCATTGAGAAAACAAAAATTTGTCCTAATGTAATAAAACAGACAACTAAAAATAAAATATTCCTTTGCGTTGAAATGTTATATTACAACAAAATATATCATTAAAGCAAGAAAACAATTAAAATTGACAAATATGTTCAATATAATAACAATGTGTTCGTTAACTGTTATGTGATTATTAAACTGTTAAAAAAATAATTTTTATTCTACTCATGCAGTTTATAAACGAACTACAAAATTTTTTTCTCAGTTTTCACCATTCGTTATCGTACCAAATTTCTTGTTCCTATCGTTAAAATACATTTGTGCATGTTGTAAGATAAGATACAACTGTTATCCAAGTCATCATTCGCTCCGCTGCTGTTGCATCTTCAATTAGTTCAGCATGTTATTTTAGTACAAGGTTGATATAAACTTCATTATGAAGTTAACAAAAACAACGTTAATATTCATACACATTCTATTTAGAAAAGAACGTAAGAAAATCATGATTTTTCAGAACGCAAAATGTGAATAATATTTTTCTTCCATTATATTCTCAAGAGAGAGAAAATTTTCAATTATCGAGCTGACGTTAAGAAAAATATTGGGATAATTTCAAATGATATCATGCTACAATTATATACAGGATACTTTAGTTTCGTTTAATGATCAAAGAAAGTAATCAAAGAAAGTAATCAAAGAAAGTAATATTTGAAATACTTCGCATTTCAAATATTTCTTTTCATTTAAACTGCGTGCCACGCAGTAACGGGAGCATTTCTCTTCGCAATTTGTTTCTCAACGAAATATATTTTATCATTACAACTGATGTCTGCCGCTATAACGTGCACATGTGGGCGCCCTTATGCGATTACGTCCTGCTTATTACGCATGAGACGGCATATATAAACAGCGTTAAGTATATATACGATGTGTTTCTTGTGAGTTCTAACCGGTATACTCTATATCGCGGGAATAAGTTACATAGAACGCTGTCAGAGCTTCCTTACTACAATATTCTACCTAATGATGGCAAGAGCGACAAGATTTATGTGGTTGTTATTTACGGCGGTAAGTTGTTAACCCATAAACCAGAAATTCGCCTCTAAACTTGGTAGTATACCAAACTTTCATGTAGTCCTTTTTATCAAAATTAATAAATTATTTATTAAAATAAAGTTTTAAATGTGTAACGTAACGTAAAATAAATGTCTCTTCAAATTTAATATTATACAATTAATTCCAATTTAAACTAAATATAAAAATTTTTAATATTTGAATTGACAACAAATATTTTCTTTATATGTTTATTCTCTCTACAATAATTGTTGAATTTATCTCTGTGTATTTTCTATAATTTTCTCATATTTAAAAAGCTACTTTTTGAGCTTGCTAGGATCTTACTTCACATTAACGATTTAATGTCGAACATATGCATTATATTAAGGCATAAATTAGTTTCTCTTCAGAAATATTACTTTCGTAATAAAGAAGTAAATAAAAATTTCTACAGGCTGCAATAACGCAGGCGAAACCATTAAACCCATCAATCGACGAATCTATCAATGAAATCGACCATGATAACACAAATTTGCAAAAAAATTCATTTGGATCGAATAAACAACAGAATTCTGCTTTGCCGACTAACGAAGAATCAATACAAGATACCATACAAACTGATGCTACAAACTCGGCAGTTGGTACCGTGATCGATACGACCATACAGTCAGTAAGTGTATCTTCATAAATTGATGAGACAATGACGTTTCATCATTCCATTCCGCTAATTAATTATAATTTTAATATGTATTGTTAGGCTATCAGTTTATTTCAGTAATTGGATAACTCACTAATTCTCTTTGCAGAAATTACTCATTGTCATTTTTGTCTATTAAATAATTAATTAAATAATTAATTAAAATCAATTTGTCAATTAACGTATTCAATAACTAAGATTATAAATATAATTTCAAAGTAGAACATAGAAGTCACAATAATATATAATAAGAACATCGTTACGATCTTATTTTTCACTATAAATTTTTAAGTGACAAATGACGTCATGATAACGTCCTATATATGTTATGACTTAATTATAACTCTGTGGTCTACCTGAGCTATAGCATTAGTATGTTCATAGTATTAGCATATTTTAGTTGAAATAAATAAGTTATAAATTAAATTGACAACAATCGACCAATTTTATACAATTTTTCTGAAAAATTCACATATCAGATATATAGACATTATGTTTTCTGCATAAATTTTTGTATTATTGAGAATATTCACGTTCTTAATTTGATTTTTAATTTTTAAATAAAAAAGATTACCTCTCTCTATTTTCATAGTTTCTCTCTATATCATGAAGCGTCATAAAAATGCATTCAAAAAGACACTGACGTAAAATCAATTTTTTTGGCAAAGTTTCAGGAAAATTCAACGATAAAACCGGGTCCGTTCTCTTGGTTCCTGACACCGCTGGTGCAGAAAATCCAATTCTCGCCACAATCGTTCCTGAACGATCGTCTACCGCTACTGAAAGATGTGCTAAACATTCTAGGAATTAACGTGCTACAAAACGTGACAGCGAAGCAGCTAAGTGGATCCGGTCTATTGCATTTCTTGGGTCCTAATGATTCTGGTTTCTACACGAACCGGCTGGAACCGGCCGGTTTTCTGGGCGGTAACGGCTGGTTCGCCAACAAAGGTGGCATTCTCGGCGGACCGGGGGCCATACTCTCCACCGGCAGCCTCCTCACGGATTATCCGACTGCTTACAGAAGGAAATAGGACGGCCTATCGTTTAATTAGACGTGCAATGTAAATAATCGAAGAACAAAAACTGTGCAACATAGTTCTGAAAATTTCAGATTTGTCAAGTAACTTACTGAATGTCGGAGATTCACAATCTTTCCTCTTAATCGAAATATTAAAGAACAAAAAGTAATGATAAAAGAGCGAAAAGCAGTATTTCTAACTTCCATACAAATTTCATAAGAGATCATTAGTGAAATGCTTTGACAAATTAAACTCAAGAAATCCAAATAGATAATATTAAGTAAATTATTATTAACATAAACATGATATCACATTTTTTACACATTTATATTCTTATTTTTTTATGTATACCCGTAATGAAATAAAACAGATTTAACAAATTAAGACAAATGTACCATGAAATTAAAATCAGTTTCTATTTCTATCCCCAGTAACACATGTTGATTTTATATACGTTTCTTAAATGTTTGTGGAACATTAGATACGTTTAGAAAACGTATATAAAACGTATATACCAATAGGTATTACCTGAGATATTACAGAGTAATGTTGATATTAGTGCATTTTTTATGCAATTCAACAGCAAGTCGACAATTCGCGCTTCGGATTTTTAATAAGACGCGAGTCTCGAGTTACCGTAGACGGGACAGCAAAAGAAAAAAAGGAAATAAAAATTATTAGCCGTGCGAAAAATGCACGGCAATGCACATTAATGGAGAGTGCGATGCGTTATTGGAAATGCATAAGATATCCGGTATCTCGCGAATTCACAGCAAGCGGCTACGCGGTATTTTACGAAGTTGGACGCCGCATGAAGTGGAGGTAAGCCACGAGGAATTTCATTTCTACCGAATTGAGATTCGATCTCTCGAGTCCGACTGATAGTCGATGATCTTCGACGATCAGTGTACTCGTAGACGAGGAGTCTCTTCGTCTACGGTCTATTACTCCCTATGCGATTCCGCTACCTGTAATCCGACCACACTGAAATATCGCCTGTTACACGAGCGATTGCGTGCCGACATCTCCGGAGGCGAAGTTTATTAAAACCGTATGACTGATTTGTGCGGTTGATATCGCTGAGAAAACGACGAGAGCTACGTATATGTTTGAGATATTTTATAATTGGTAATATGATCGATACAAGATCAATTTTTCTCGCTGCAAAACTAAACCGATTTTCAAGGATAACCGTAATATGACTTTATAAGTAGTGTTCTTTTTAATTTAAACGGAATTTTAAAACTTTATTATTTTTACGCATTGTGTGTACATGTACGTGTGTGTATCAGACTTTTTATTATATGCTTCTACTATTGTCTTAAATTTATTAATTTCGTCAAATTCTCCAGGATAAAATATTCTCGTTACGTGACAGGCATGCAAAAAAAACAAGAATAAATTGTGAAAGAGGAATTTCTCAATCAAATTAAAATTCGATCTGTTTCATCCGATCAATAGCCATGTGTATTCGTGTGTATTCGTAGTTTCCGGTTAAGATTAAATCTGTTTACTGTCTAGTTCAATACGAAGGAGGAGTAGCACTTGATAAATTGGCAATAATACGCTGCGTCTGTATGAGCTTGTGTACAAGCTATACACCTGTATAAGCAGCCGTGATCGATGAGAGTGTGGCGACGCAGTTTGCAGCGCCGTGTGTCGTTTATAGATTAATTCTACGTGTCAACAGTTTGTCGTGTCACGCTTTTATTGACTCGTTAATATATGACCACAAATTATATAAGCTCAAATATTCAAGAATATTTCGAGCGATACAGCCCGTTGACATTGAATTTATTAAACTGTTGCAATTGAAAGTTATAATTATCATGAAAAGAGCATGTAATATTACACGTGTGTGTAAGTATTATCGTAATACGTATCGCGACGTTAATAATATCTGCATTAACCGTCTTGTATCCTGGCTGTTCTACGTTGTTTACGTTTACGACGTGTTCAGGAATTTATTACGTTGTTACATAATTAAATCGAAACTAGGGCAATGTTATATGTAGGTATACGTAGCAAGAGATTTATAATGCATGCAATCGAAGGATTTTTATAAAATCTACAGCTAAAACTCAATATAATTATATTGATAAATAAGTTATTTTTGTAGTTTTTACTAAGATTAATAATTTATTTCAAATGACTTTTTATCGTTCGAACAGTCGTTTGCATTTTATCATCGATAAATAATCTATTTATACTCAGATATTCTCAATAATCATTAATATAACAGCAACTTTGGAATAATTGAAAACAATATATTAACGTACATGTTTCCAGTTCACAATTTACAACAATTTGCTAAAAATATCAGTAACAAGCGATTTAAAAAAAATTAATAATTCCAACAATTTCCACGCATAATTTATAAATCAGGGAGAGATATTTACTATGTGTTACCGTTTTTCTTGGAAATTAGGGTTTTCTAATAGCTGCGAAAATTACTGGTATATATTACTAGTTAGTCGAAATGTTATTAATAACTATAACTCTTACAATAGCCGCCATTATTATAATTGCGAAATGAGAACATGGACAGTTATGTTGACCTGCAACGTGTACATGAATGAAACTTTCCCAGGCCGAGTTCGAGTAGAATAGTACGAATCGTTAGCGCAACTCGCGGAACTTTTTAATTAGCGACAACAGAGAGAGAATATTGCGGCGGAAAATCCACGCAGCACAATTGGACAGGTGTGCTATAGTACTTCCCGCTATAGTATCTCCTCGATAATATATTGAGCTTTTAAGTCTTTTAACTACCCAGAATGGCGATCAATAAATCGTATATCCGAAAAAGAGAAATGACATGGATTATAAATAGGCGACTGCGTCCAAACAATCATATCGAAGTTTCAATGTTCAAGAAAAGATCGGCAAGACGATAATTAGAGGTTTTTTTCATGTAGCGATAATCACCACGAAGGATTTATGTAAAATGTAATAGGCAAGGTCTTTTGATTCGTGAGTGGGAGGATTAGCGATCGTTTAACTCACGAAACTAACGATGATACGCTCACGATCGCCTTAGAATTAGGTGGGTCAATGAACGTCCACGAATCGATGTTTGTGACGTAAGTACGCCGCTATTTTGCCTCGTAACCTTGAACATAAACTTGGAAACTGGTTTGTCAGCGGATAAGAAAAATTTTTTGCGCGATGTGTAAGTGGTCACATGAGAAAAATTCAATCCATATATCTTCGCAAAGTTAACACACTATTTTCAGAACTTAGATATAATCTATCAATCATATACCTAAAAATGGGATATTTCGAATTTCACAGAGATTGTTTGGATGAGTTAAAAAAATCATAATTAAGAAAGTAAATAAATTGTTAAAATATAATTTGTTGTATATTATGTAGAATATAACTAACGTTTCATCAAAAAAAGAGATAATTATTGATTAATAAATAAATTAAAACAAAATGTTTTACTAAAAGTTGATATAAAAAATTTTGGAACTTTTTACAGTAAAGGTGAAACTTCTTAAATGCTGACACATTCTCAGGAGACTTTGAGCTTTGAATAAAGTTTGAGACCTAAGTCCCCTCTCATATCTCTGTAGGCAGAGAAAATCTTCCTGTAAATAATTTGGGTGTTTAAATTGGATGTAGTTATTAGTTACATAAAAGAGTTGGTCCAAATAATTGAGGGGTTTACAGTTTAAAACTTTTCACTATATATACGGACAGTAGTTGAAAGGTGCACCCTTTTTTCCCAATTGACTTCTAAAGTGACTGTTTTAAAAGAATCATAATCATACAAATCAAACATACAAACTTGATAATTATTTCATAAAGATAAGAATAATCAAATATAAATATGAGTAATTTGATTTTAATTAATCTTATATTATAATTTCTCTCTCTCAGGGACATATTATATGACCCTGGAAGTACAACATGATTATAAATTTAAGGCAAAATCATTACACTGTAAAATAATTATACTTTAACAAAAAACTCTGTAATTATCCAGGTGACAGGATCGGCTGTCAATAACACGTTAATAACGTTAAGCTAAACATTGCTCTTTTTAGACAATTATTTTTGTCATAAGAAACAGACCTTTAATTGATCTTTGGATGATACGGTCAACTATCAATTACATGGTCAACGACTAGGCTTGCGTTCACCTCAACGTTCACGCACCCCCGAGCACCTACGTCGGATCGTGAGTGGGTGTCATGAGTGGGGGTTCGTCAGCAAGGGGGGCGCCGGCAGATTCTGGTGGGGATGGAATAAAATCTCCGAGTGTACGGGGAGGCAGTCCAGTCAAACTAGTCAGTCGACCGAGCGATGCGGGAAGCGACGGTTGATCGTCGTCGATTTCCATTTCCATCGACTCCGTTCGCAAGCTCGTAGAGAGCACTGCGAAGGTTAACTGAGAGATGCGGAAGGGATTGGTGATCATGCGTACGTAGGGAAGAGTAATCTCGCGTCGGGTACGATGCCGCGAAAATTCTCGCTTCAAACAACCCTACGACAACGACCAACGCATATCTCGACCGGCTTGCACCCCTATCGACGCGTCGCGCCTTCAATCGTGAGAAAAAAGGGAGAATCTGCCAATCGCGTCGACTATTCTCAACCTATTGGTGTCGTCGGCGAAGGACACTCTTTCTTTGCTGGAAGGGATTTCCCAGCGCGGTTAGTTGGGAGAGAAGCGAAAAAAGAGAAAAGTTCCTGTGAGAGATTGCTATCCTCGCCTGACATAGCGAGTAAGTAAAACATCACAACTCGAAAAAGAGTTTCCACCCTAGTGTGTGTTGTGCCACTTTTGATCACGTTCTCACGTGAAGGAGGAAGGGATGAACGTCCACGTGTGCATAACGCGTAGATCGTGAGTCGCGTTTGTTTACGGATCTGTTGCATCAAGAGTACGGTTATATTCAAGTAACTTTGATTAGCCTATTCCGGCTCTATGCCTACATGACAATCGTAACGATAAAGTTGACTTAAATCACATGAGTATAGTCAACTTTGCCCTGAACAAAAATTTAAAAAATATGAAATTAAAAACTAGAAAAACGTAAATAAGCATTTAATTGTATTTCAATCAATTCCACGTACACAAATATTGGAATACCCTATAAACATTCGTTCAATATATTTCCTCTTTTTTTCTATCGCTATCAATTATAATTATTTTAATCTTTGTATAGCATCCATATAAACGTGCACTCCAAATAAAAGTTTCTCTCATAATATGTGCTTGGCACATATAATGATTTTTTTTTTTCAAAATCTAAGATGACATAATGCGCGATTGAGAATGTCTCAGAATCAATATTTACGCAAAGTTTTTTCATTTCCCTTTTCTTCTCATTTTATTTATTACATGCAACATTGAATTAATATTAAATAATGAGTATTGTAACTATATTTTAGTTACATTTGATGTAACAGATTAAGCTATAACAGAAATAATGGCTGCGTTCAGCAGAGAAAATTAATCAGTTAGCGTTTAGTGATTCTTTAATTGATTCTAGCCTTTTTTCTTCATTAAATCTATGTGTAGGAACCAATCGTATTAAAGAATTACTAAGCGCTAACTGATTAGTTTTCTCTGCTGAACGCAGCCATTAGAAACAATGTTATCGCTAAGTGACGTTAATGTAAGAAATAGATCTATTCTAAACGTAGATCTAGCGTCATCTTCTTGATTATTGCTAACAATTCTTCCTGTACAAATGTTTGCCAGTACGCATATTTCGCAATGTGCATACCATTCTACACTGTTAAATCTAAATAGTAACAAATTTAATTTAATTTAAGTCGCTACTGCTTCTACTCAATATATCGTTATTTTATACTAAAACAATGAATTTGTATAGAGTCAAATTTATCCATTGTTTTAGTATAAAATAACAATGGTTTTTATTTAGTATAAAATAACAATGGACAAATTTTTGATACTGTATAGTGTCAAATTTAGCCATTGTTTTAATATAAAATAACGATGTATTGAGTAAGAGCAATGCACTGAAAAAGCAATTTTGTTGAAGAGTCTAAAAATTTGGCTAGATACAGATATAAAAATAATTTTATTGAACCATCAAAATAATTTTGCAGGAATCTTAAACATGATGAACAATGCTGCAAAATGTTTTGATAGTTCAGTAACCAATTTTATCGTCTATAATTGTTTTGATGGTCCAACAAAATTATTTTTCAGATCTATATCTAGCTAAATTTTTATAAACGCTATATTAAGTAGCAGCAGTGGCAACTTAAATTAGATAAAATTTAACACTATAAATTTAACAGTGCAACGCGCTTTATTTTATTTCTTGAAACAATTGGTCATTCTATTACAGACAAAACCGTAATTTATTTAAAACTCCTTGTATGTTTTATATAAATCAAAATATTCAAATTTGTAGAAAGAAAAAGAAGAAAGAGAGAGAACATATTAATAAATTTATTACGAACATGAATGAGGACAAATGTTTAGAACGGATTTATTATTCCCTAGAATTATTTTATAAACTACTGTTCTCCATGGAAATTTTTTGCTATAAATTTTGCATTTAGTGTCCTATCATGTCATGTTTAATTCCCTCTTTTACATATTTTTTACAAGGCATAAAAGTAAAGCTCTGGGGATGAAATAGCAAACTAGATGAAGTGGTTCGTAGAATAAAGCAATGATTCCGCGAAACTTTTTACTCTCAGCTATCGCTGCAAAATGCGACGCGGGAAAGCATTTTTTTTACAAGAGTTGTTAATATATAATATAAGTGATATACAAATGTATCTAAATACGCGCGCATGTGTAGGTATGTATATAATATATCTATTATTAAATATTAGACGGAAGAATTGAATAAAATTGTTAAAAAATTTAAGCTATAAAATAAAAATACGAAAAATTGTTTATATATCTTTTTACGTTATAAATTAATATTTAAAAAATTTATTATCTTATCCATTATCTTATTTGTTATTTTATACAATTATAGTGTATAATAATCAAAATATGATATGGTTAATTGATTAAAGCTCATATATGACTTACATTTAATAACGTTATTAGAAAATATATACATCATTATTCTTTCCCAGAGCTTTTCTACTGAAAGAAATTTTATTCCCATTTATATTAAAATATTAAATTATGTGAATATTTTGTTATTCTTTTAATCATTTTACTAATATTGATCTCTACATTTTATAATACTTAATCATTTATGATTGACCCAAATGACGAGAATTCAATTAAAGATTTACAGTGATATATATATTATTTCTTTCTTACGAATGTCTTTTATTGATACAATCAATGTGTGTAACAGTTTTTTAACGTCTAATATCTAACAGATATTATATCCGTTAAAAGTCAAGTACAAGATTTCTATCAAAATAAAGTTTAGCTAAAATTAATCAATAAATATCTATACATATTCTCTTAAAATTTGATTCACGAAGATACTTCACCTACTGACAATTTCAGCTTAAACAAATATATAATAATTAAAATATTGAAATAGCTGCTATTTCGTTTAATATAGCTTTAATTATCAGCTTATAAGATTATGCCTCATTTCCATAAAGAATATTAAAATTGAGGTATTGCATTAAAATGCAATTTGCAGTAAATTTAAATAAATTTTTACGTTGATAATCATCTTTATTACATGTAAAAGGCTTCAAAATTCAAAAGATAAGGATATGCGACGAGTTAATAAAAGTGAATACCGCTTCGTGCAATATTTTGTGAATATAAAGTCTATATACGCAACAAATTGCTCCTACGTTACAAGAATATGCGAAATATGAATATACCAATGTATTTTTAAAAAGCTGTCATCGATGTAATTAAAATTGAAGAGATGCGATAAATATTAAATAACCCCTATTATATAAATATATATATATATACATATACAATATATGGACAACCAATTTGCGAAGACAGCTAATTTTGTGGCCAACTATCATACGCACATTATTTATTGAGATAAAAGAAGTAATTGCATTTATGTGCACACGCTAATGATAGCAAGTTTTTTTTAACTAGCTATAGAAGTAGCTGAAACGAGTCCTATCTAGTATCATGTTTTCACTGATTATTAAAATATCCATGTCTCTAGCGGTGTATTTTGTTAGGAAGATTTCCGCAATTCCGCAACGTCTGATTAAGAAGATTCCTGAGAACTTTCAAGATCAGAAAAAGTGAGATTAGATTATGGTATATCGCGAGTGAAATTCATTTTAACAAATGCAAAATTGTATGCGATATAACATTTATATATTTATAAGCGGAAAATGATGATCGATAATATCATATTCATTTTATGGTGTTTCTATTATTCACTAATTTCGGCGAGTTGTATTATACCATCAACTTCTATTTGCAAATTAATGATACTAAAAGTCATTAGCACAGATTACAATTTCAGTTTCAATGTACATGTACAAATATAAACAATATAAAACGAAACAACAGAGATAACTTTAAAATAATACCGACCATCTCGAGTTTTTTTTTTTGTCAAATGAGATATAATATTTACAATCGCGAAAATAATGTAATGTATTAAACTTTTGCATAAAAAAAAGGATTCTTTCATCTCGATTGAATAAATTTTATCTCGGAACAGACACTTGACTTCTCATATCCGATTCGCTATTGTCCTTAATCACTCGATCTTTCGGAACGTATGCACTCTGACCTCGTTAGAACAAAATTAATCTTCAATCGAGATAATCTTGAAGCTTCTAGCTATTTTGTATTTTTTCTTCGCAAAAAGATATTTTTCACGTCAAATTTTCAAGTATTAGTACTTAAAAGTTCAATCATTTCTTTTCATCAAATATTCTTTGCTTAAATTCGCCACGGCGACAGGTGACATGACGTAATTCATTGATAATTGATCGTGTGAGACTTTGACGTCAATTTTACTGTCACATCTTAGCGTCACAACGCTTTTACGTCAATAACGCTGTGCTACATCTATTAATAATAGAAAAAAATGGATCTATTATCGCGATACTGCGCAACTTCTTAATGGTTTCTTGAATTTATAATAAAGGAGCAACAACCTTCCACTTTTTAATAAATTATAAATAAAACATACGTCCTTACTTTCGATATACTTCCAAATTTGTTGACATTATAGAGAGAAAACGGCTCAACGCACTGATCTATGCTTTTTACACATTAATTACAAGAGCATTTGCTCTTTGCAACAAATTCGTACTAGATAGCCATTCCGTTCCCATATTTACTTTGCTTAGGCGTAATTATATTCGCGTCACCGCTTCGCAGGAATTTCCATTCTTCCTAGCCATATACTCGGAGATATAATCCGCTCAGTAAACATTGCAGGCTCGATTACGCAACATTATTATGCGGTGGCGACAAATTGCGAATCAGGGTACGACGTAATCTCACTCGGTTTTGGATTGCGCGACCTGATCTTCGTCAAGATCTGACATAGATGCACCCTATTACTTCTGAATCAGTCAATTACACCCCATTGACTTTGCTCGCACAATATTGTTCGCGTAGGTGTCGCGTCTCTCCACTTCAGCTCTTCGTTATTCCGTTATTATCCAGAGCGAGGAAGATTATATATATTACGAACGCCCGCATAACTCCTTCCCGTTTACGTAGAAAGCCCGGACAAGTTTGAGGCCGAGCTTCGCAGCACGCAATCAAGATCGAAGATGATTACATACCTCAAGCTTCTTCTCGATAATTTTATCTATTTAT